GTGGGGGACGTGGGGTGGGGGGGTCAGAGGGTCACGAGTGTGAGGTTTGGGTGGTTTTGGTGGAAATCCAATTGATAGAGATACATGAAAGTTCTGGACTGGTTTCACTGAAGTTCATCATTCCATCCATCTCTAAGTGCTTAGGTCATGGGGGCGGGGGTGGAGGGTGGAGGGTGGGGTGATGGGTAAGGGTCAGGTTGGACCTTGGACAGTCCTCCAGGACATTGGTACATGGAGACAACCAACCATTCACACCTTCATTCACACCTGGGACCAGTTTTTTTTTTTTTCCTTCGGAGAACCTGGAGAACCTGGAGAACCTGGTTCTTCTTGCTGTAGGACGAGGTCATCACTCACTCCTGAACTGAGTGGAGGCCTTACAGCCAATCACATCTTCGCAGCAGTGAAGACTGAGCGGCCACCACTGGGGAGAAGTCCAGTCGGGAAAACCAGTCAGAACTGGAACCACAGATCGCAGGGGAGAACGCCGGGTCCACAGGGGGTCAGGAGGTCAGGACCAGAATCAGCCAATCAGAGAAGGGTTCCAGAGAACTGTGACGTCCTGAGGCCCGTGGGGGGCGGGGGGTGGTGACGGTGGAACGGTGAAGCCCACGTGGACTTGTCAGAAGGGTTCAGATACTAGGATGAAAAAAGACTAGAAGAAGAAGACGAAGAATTATCTGCAGTGACAGGAAGAGGCCCATTTCCTGGAGGAAGCTCCTGCCATGATTTCAAAATAAAACAAAACAATGTCAACGATTTCCTTATCACCACCAGCCGTGGAGTGGCAGCTGGATTCCTGCTCATCGAGTTAGACACTTCATTTTATTATTTTTCAGAGGAGGAGGAGGAGGAGGAGAAGCTGTCCATTACTCTTGAACGGCTACGGTTTGATCTTTGCTCGGTGCCTCGGTGGACGACAACTTTTCGGCAGGAGCTTCAGCAGCTGCTGGTGAACTAAGGGAGGCAGCAGCAGCAGCAGCAGCAGCAGGAGCAGCAGCAGCAGCAGCAGAGGAGGTGCTGGAAGCCTCCTTTGCCGGTGCTGATGCTGGGACTGGAGCCGGGGCGGGGTCTGGGTCTGGGTCTGGTGCTGGTGCTGGTGCTGGTGTTATCGCTGGTCCCTCTGCAGGTTTGGCTTCAGGGCAGACGACGGACGCCGCCTCAGCCGTGGCCTCAGTCTTTTTGGCTCCGCCCCCTTCTTTGCTCTCAGGTGTTGGAGCCTTGGATTCTTCCGGTTGTTTGGTGGCAGCGGCGGAGGCAGCTGGTTTCTCCTCAGCCTTGGGCTTGGTGTTAGCCTCTCCCTCAGCGGCGTTCTTGTCTTGGTCTTTAGCTGCGGTGGTTTCTCCCTGCGGCGCCTCCTCGCTCTCCGTCACGTGTGCCACCTCTTTAGCATCTCCTGCCGCCTGGGCGGCTTCTTTGCCGTCGTTGGGGGCGTCGCTCTGCTCTCCAGATGCCCCCTCTGCTTTAGCGTCCTTGTCCTTGTCCTTGTCGTCGTTGACGTTGTAGCCCTTCTTCTTCTTGCTGAGTTTGCCTCCCATGTTGGATCTCTGAGTGAAGGAGAAATGGAAACTTAATCAAAAAAATCTAAACAAACACAAAAACAACAAACAAACCGTGCAGTATAATTACAGTCATAGATCTATAATTCTAGAGTGACTGTTTCTGGTTGGTCACTGGATACTGAGCTGCTCCTGAACAATTTGTCATCATTTTTCTGGTTAAATGTTGTTGTGGTTAAAAACGACATTGATCTTTTTCTAATATTTACACTGACGTATATGTTTATATAAATAAATCTGTCCTCTTCTGATCCCAGATCAATGTCCTCAGTCATTGATCAGTCATTGATTTTCTCCAATATTCCTGGTGTTGGTTCATGTTCTTGTTCTT